TGGTGGATTTGCCACCAGGTTGTAAACCTCTTGGGTACAAGTGGATTTTCAAAAGAAAATTGAAAGCAGATGGATCAATTGACAAATACAAGGCAAGACTTGTGGTCAATGGTTTTAGACAAAAAGAAGGTCTTGATTACTTTGACACATACTCACCAGTTACTAGAATAACATCCATTAGAATGCTAATTGCCATTGCATCTCTATACAATCTAGAAATTCATCAAATGGATGTGAAAACCGCTTTCTTAAATGATGAGTTAGATGAAGAAATTTACATGGAACAACCAGAAGGGTTTTCTGTTCTAGGAAAAGAAAAGAAAGTGTGTAAATTGGTTAAATTATTATATGGTTTAAAACAAGCATCAAAGCAATGGCATGAGAAATTTGACAAGGCAATGATGTTAAATGGATTTAAAATTAATGAGTGTGACAAATGTGTTTACATTAAAAACACAGACAAAGGTTATGTCATTGTATGTCTATATGTAGATGATATGCTCATCATAGGTAGTAATAATGATATGATTAAAACTACCAAGAAAATTTTAAATAAACATTTTGACATGAAAGACATGGGCATTGCAGATGTAATTCTTGGTATGAAAATTACCAAAACATCAGAAGGATATGCTTTGTCACAATCTCATTACATTGAGAAAATACTTGACAAATTCAGCAAAGATGATGATCATCTTGCTAGAACACCTGTAGATGTTAATTTGTATCTTTCTAAGAATGTACAGGAAAGTATTTCTCAATTAAAGTATGCCCAAATTATTGGAAGCTTAATGTACTTGATGAATTGCACTCGCCCGGATATAGCTTATGCAGTAAGTAAATTAAGTAGATGTATGAGTAACCCATGAGTAAAACACTGGCAAGCAATTATAAGGGTTCTTAGATATCTCCGATTTACTCGTAACATTGGACTTAATTATACTAGATATCCAGCAGTACTTGAAGGATACTGTGATGCAAATTGGATATCGGATACTAGAGACTCAAAGTCCACCAGTAGGTATGTTTTTACTCTTGGTGGGGCGACTGTATCTTGGAAATCTTCCAAACAGACTTGCATTTCTAGGTCTACTATGGAATCAGAATTCATAGCTTTAGATAAAGCAGGGGAAGAGGCAGAATGGATTTGCCACTTCCTTGAAGATATTCCAATATGGCCAAAATCAGTGCCTGCTATATGCATACATTGCGATAGTCAATCAGCAATAGGTAGAGCACAGAGTTATATGTATAACCATAAGTCTAGACACATTCGTCGTCGACATAATACCGTAAGACAACTACTCTCTAATGGAATTATTTCCATTGATTATGTGAAGTCTAAAGACAACATAGCGGATCCACTAACCAAAGGGTTAGCAAGAGAGCTAGTAGAGAATTCATTGAGGGGAATGGGACTTAAGCCTATTAAATAAGAGTTACCACAACGGCAACCCAACCTAGTTGATTGGAGATCCCATGATCTAGGCTCAAAGGGACAACCGAGTTGTGATTGACTCAGAAAGATCACTGGGGAGTCCAACTCCTACCCATTTCTATGATGAAATAGTGATGTCTGCAGCGGTTTAGGTTAAGTAATACTTTTAATGATTCTTATATCTAGGTAAACCTAGTGGAGTATGATAGGATACTCTTCATAAGAATCACCTATGTGAGTGTGAACTGGGCTGGTTCTATGAGATTTGTGAAGGGCTACAATTCTCTAGAGCACTCATGAAAGACCAAGTTGTTCAGGGCCAAAATGAACACAATAGTGAGAACCAAACTATGTCTGGGGATATACTGTGTGAGTTCTATTGTTTTGGTTTACGCAAACGGCTGAACAGTTCAAGACATCATGTTCACTGGTTAGCTAGTAAATCTGATAGTGTCTCATATGGGAAGGTTCAAAGCCAAAAGCTACCTATCCTTTGCAGAATATTTCCAATTTTTGTACTCTCTGAAATTAGATCATGTTGTTGCATTTTCTTTTCGTTAAATTTCATTCATGTGGGGGATTGTTGGAAAATTTGGTTTATTAGGCTTATTTTGGGCCAACTTTGAGCCCAAAATGAAGTGTGCCCCAAACGTCTTTTGGGGTGGATCCGAAGAGGTGATGTGTTCCTTGCCGCATGGTAAGTCACACGGTGAAGACGGTTCGTCAAAACCATTTATGAGTGAATGGGAATTTGACTTCGTTTTTCGGGTTCGTGGAATAGATGGTTAAAGAAGTAAATGTGGGTTTCTTTGAAATGGGTTGTCCCACATTGAAACTTTATGAGAGCTTTTATGTGTATATAAGCTCTGGCCTACAATACTTGGGTTGGGCCCCAAGGGGCACCCCAAGTTTGTAGAAGGGAGGAGTTATGGACAAAGTGAACCTTAGCTTAAACCACCACACGCGCGCGCACCGCAGCCGGGCCGGGCCATGCCGTGCGCTGGTGTGAGTTGTGGGTCGGGTCGGTTCTTGTATTAATTTTTTGGACAAAATTCTTTTGAATTTTTCTAAAAAATTACTTGTGGGAAAATTTAATTAAATTCAAATTTGAATTTAATTTGTGTCCTAAATTCTCTCCTTATTTGGTCCATGTCAAAACAGGTTGAAATCCATAACAGATTCGGTTTTGAGTAGTTTCTGAATAGGTGAATAACTGCAGGAGTTATCTGTTGGAACAATGCCAAATCTGTTTAAAATTCAAACTATACCTGTACAGTTTGAAAATACACCTGTACAGGTTGTCTTCATACCTGTTCTATAATAACCCGACCCTCGTACATGATTCTGGTATCTCTTTGGTCCTCTATTCTGTGTTTTTGAATGCTTATTGTGAAATTCTGTGTGAAAGTACATTGAATTACATGAAACTTAGAAATATGGATTCCTATCTGTTGAATAAGGAAATTATCTGTCACAATAAACTATTTGAATCTGAAATTGGGCAACTTAGAGGCTTAATTTTCAAAAATTGATTTGATATTTGGAATCTGCATAATTTTTAAGCTCTAATGGGATTTTCTGTGAAATTTCAATTTAGAATGCTTAAACGATTAAATTTTGTCTTATTATAAACATAAATATCTATCCTAAACTCTAAGATGTCTTTGACTTGAGAGTATCTCTTGTGTGCAACCAAGAAGAGGGGAAAACGTGAGTGTTGGAGAGAAGCTCTCCAAGTGAAGAATTTGGGGAAATTTGTGAGGATTGTTTAGATTGAACTCAAGGTATGGAAAATTTCTTGATCTAGTCTCTCTCTCTTGATCTTGGTTGGGGATTCTTTTTTTGTTTTGGAAGGTTATGGTAGATGTGTGGGTTTTAGGAGATGATTTATGTTGATAATCAAATTGAGTTATGAAGGGAAATCTATCCCTTATTTCCTTGAAATTTCATGAGATTATTCAATTATGTGTTTGAATTAGAAGCTTAGGTAGCTTTCTATGCATATGTTTATGTAAACCCAAAAATAAGGGAATTTTGGAAAGATTATGGTTGGTTTGAGTATGGATTTAGTGATTGAAAGTGTAAGGAGGGTTGTGATTGATTTGTTGTGTGATTTAGCACCTTAATTTTATGTTCGAACCATTTTGAGGCTTTATTTTGTGTTGTAAAAGATGGATTTTCGGTATGGAATTGAGCTGCCCCAATTCAGGGCTATGGCCGCTCAAGCGGGAAAATGACCCTCTCAGCAGTTTTTCCGAAATTACCCTGTCCGCTCGACCGGAGGAATTTCCCCTCGAGCGCAAAAATGGACCTTTCAGCATTTTTGTTAAAATTGTACAGTACGCTCGAGCGGCCAAATTGGCGCTCGAACGGGGAACTTATTTTCAGAAAGAAACTGTATTGGTTCAGTTTTGCGTGCTTGACTCTCTGGTATTTTTAGAATATTTTCTGATGATTTAAGATGGTTATAATTCATTTGAAGGGTAATAACACAGGGAATGATTCCTCAATGAGTTAAGAAGAAAGAGAACTAATTCACAAGTTATGGTTGTATGCAGGGCACACTCCGGAAGGAACTAGCACGCCATCACAACGTTGTGAGTAATAGTACATTGAATGTACATTTATTTTCCGCTATATCTGTTAATAACATTTTGTTTTCCGTCAGTTACGATTTTAGCATATGTATTGATTGGAACTTAATGAAAATGAAATACTGAAAAGATATATGTACATATTTGTACGTTCTGGGCCGAAAGGCTGTTCTGGGTCGAAAGGCTGTTCTGATTATTCTAGGCCAACGGCCGTTCTGCAAGTAAAACCATATCAGACTCACTTTTGAATCTCATTTTGTGAATGCATTGTTACGCATTGTTACTAAAGCTGGTTATTAAACTACTTAAGTATTATTATTCACTGAGCTTGTCTCACTTTGTAATTTTGTCTGATTCTGTAGGAAACCAACTTGGAGGTCAGTTCTAGCATCGTTATCATCTATCTTTTGTCAACCTAAGGACAACCAGGCACTTGGAGAAGCCTTTTGCATGCTAGGGCAGTTTTGTCAGACCATGTCATTTTGTGCTAATGTTTTGTAGACCAAACTTGTTGTATCTAATATTTTGTTGTATGCCCAACCTCTGGGCTGGACTTGTAAATGTGTATATAACGTCATATCAGACACATGTCTACAATGAGTTTAATTCCGACTCATGATCCTGGCATTTGTGTAGTAGCTCAATGGTTGTGTCTGTATGTTAAACTTTTATATTAACGCTTCCATTCAGGCCCCGGATATTTTATATAGCAAGTTAAATGTCTGTTTCGGATTAAGTCATGCCCAAAACTTTGAGGGGCAAGTTAGGGGCGTGACAAGTGGTATCAGAGCACGAGTTGCTATCTCACACACGGATCCATTGAGCTTCAGGATGTCTATAAAGACGTAGGCATCATGTAGTAAAGGAAGATTGATAGTAACGTTAAATGTTTTCTGCTAATGCTAATGATGATGATCAATGTCTATTGTATTCTTTTGTGTATGTTGTAATTGATTGTTCTGTAGACTATGGTGAGAACAAGGACCGAAGATCAGGAAGATGCTACCTCAGCACGGTTGGACAGGATGGAAAGGATGATTATGGAAATGGCGGAAACACTACGACAACAACAACAGCAACAACAGCCACAGCTGCCACCACCACCAGTACCCCCACTTGTAGTGCAAGATTTCCACGCTGAGGACCGCACCATTACACTTACAAAGGAGTTTAAAAAGATGAAACCACCATCATTTAAAGGAGGAATTGAACCAATGAAGGCTGAGGCATGGGTGTTAGGAATAGAAAAATTGTTCGAAATTTTCCCCTGTATTGAAATCCAAAAGGTACAGCTTGCTGCTTTTACTCTTGAAGATGAAGCACGGAGGTGGTGGATGCTTACAAGAACAATGCATCAGGGGTTGACATGGGACAGGTTTTTGGTGCTGTTTTATGATAAATATTTTCCCCAGAGTATGCGAGACAAGAAGGTGACTGAATTCGAAACATTGAGACAAGGAAATAAAATGGTTGCCGAATATGAAGCTCAATTCGCGGAACTAGCCCGGTATGCACCTCACATGGTGGATACAGAATATAAGAAGGCACGAAAATTCGAAGGAGGATTGTGGGGTGCTATTCTGGACCGAGTTAACGTATTGAAGTTGCCTACCTATGTTGATGTGTTAGAACGAGCTGTTATAGCAGAAGGGAACATTGCTGCTCAGACTCGAATTTCTGAATGGAAAGGAAAGAGGCAGAACAACCAATGGATCAAGGGGTCAACTACTCCACCAAACAAGAAGCAAAATTCAGGGACTTCCAACACTACGACCTCTCCTCAAAATTCAGCTCCTGTGTGTCTAGAGTGTGGATGGAGGCATCGAGAGATTTGTCACCGATTGTCTGGGGCATGTTTTCGATGTGGCAAAACGGGGCATTTGATAAAAGACTGTCCGCCAAAGAATCAACAAACTGGTAATAAGGCCGCCACAAGCTCAGCAGGGTCTACACCGGCTCCTAATGCCAAGGCAATTGCTAAACCCGCTAACAATAAGGATACTACGAGGCAAGGTAGGGTATTTGCGTTGGTTCCGGGAGATGTACAGAATGCAACAATAGTGGTGTCAGGTACATTTATGGTTGATGGTCATTCTGCTTACGTCTTATTTGATTCTGGCTCTACCAGTTCCTTTGTGTCAAAATTATTTGTGAAAAACTTAGATAAACCTGAAGAAGAATTGACTTATGTGTTGTGTGTATCTTCACCTATGGAAAATTCCATGATCTGTACTTCTGTCTATTCTGCTTGTGAACTTCTCATTGGGGATATCCGTGTATATGCTAATCTATTACCACTTGATATGACTTCTTTTGATATTATTCTGGAGATGGATTGGTTGGATGAATATAGTGCCACTATCGACTGTCTGACAAAGCAAATCCAATTCCACCCTCCAGGGCAATTAGAATCTACTTTTCAGGGACAAGGAGTGACTCCTCCACCGTATGTGATTTCAGCGGCTAGGGCTTGTAAGTTAATTCAGAAAGGGTGTCAAGGATACTTATGTAGTGTTTTGGAAGGGCCAACAATGAATGAGAATATTGGTGCGATTCTAGTTGTCTGTGAATTTCTGGACGTCTTTCCAGAAGAATTACCAGGAGAATTAGTGGACCGTGAAATCGAATTCACGATTGAAGTGCTACCGGGAATCCAACCCATTTCTAAAACGCCGTATCGAATGGCACCAATTGAAATGAGGGAATTGAAGACTCAGTTGCAAGACCTACTGGATAAGGGGTTTATCCGCCCGAGTGTTTCTCCATGGGGTGCACCAGTTCTGTTTGTGAAAAAGAAAGACGGAACACTCCGCTTATGTGTAGACTACCGGGAGCTTAATAAAGTAACAATCAAAAATAAGTATCCATTACCGTGGATCGATGATTTATTTGATCAATTACAAGGGGCACAGGTCTTTTCCAAGATTAATTTACGGTCCGGATACCACCAATTGAAAGTTAAAGCTGATGATGTTGAGAAGACAGCTTTCCGAACCCGATACGGTCATTATGAATTTCTGGTTATGCCCTTTGGAGTTACTAACGCACCAGCAGCATTTATGGATCTGATGAACCGTGTCTTCAAACCTTATCTGGATGAGTTTGTTGTGGTCTTTATTGACGACATCCTTATTTACTCCAAGAATGCAGAGGCTCATGAAGACCATCGTCGCTTAATCCTTCAAACCCTCCGAGAAAAAAAATTGTATGCAAAGCTAAAGAAGTGTGAATTCTGGTTACATGAAGTGGCATTTCTGGGGCATGTTATAACTAAGGAAGGAGTCTCTGTTGATCCAAACAAGATTGATGCAATTGTGAACTGGCCGACTCCGACGAATGTGACTGAAGTGCGTAGTTTTATGGGGTTAGTCGGATATTATCGGAGATTTGTTCAGGATTTTTCCAAGATTGCTGTACCACTTACACAGTTGACTAAAAAGGGAGTTGCATTTGAATGGTCGGAACAGCGGGAATCTGCTTTTCACGAATTAAAAATGAAGTTAACTACAGCTCTGGTCCTTGCACTACCATCTGGTACTGAGGGATTTGTGTTTTACAGTGATGCTTCACATAAGGGACTTGGTTGTGTGCTTATGCAAAACGGAAGGGTTATCACTTATGCCTCTCGACAACTTAAACCTCATGAGAAGAATTATCCTACGCATGATCTTGAACTAGCCGCTGTAATTTTTGCTTTAAAGATTTGGCGGCATTATTTGTATGGGACTACTTGTGACATTTATACTGATCATAAAAGTCTCAAATACCTTTTTACCCAAAAAGAGTTGAATATGCACCAACGGTGATGGTTAGAACTTATTAAAGATTATGATTTGCAGATCCATTATCATCCTGGTAAAGCTAACACGGTAGCAGACGCGCTTAGTCGGAAAAATGTGGGAAATTTGGCAAGTTTATTGACAGAGGAAAAGGAGTTGATAAGTGAGTTGAATAAGATGGGGGTCGACTTGGTGATACATAGTCAAGAAGCAACAGTGGCAACAATGATGGCCCAACCAACATTACCTGAGGAGATTAAATTACGCCAAATGGAGGATGGAGCTCTAAAGAAGATATGTGATGAACTGGAGACAAAACCGAAACTGGGGTTCGCTTTGACAGATGCTGTGCTTAAATTTCAAAATCGAGTATGTGTCCCTAATGTCGTAGAACTTAAACAGAAGTTAATGGAAGAGGCACATGCCTCAAGAGTTTCAATGCATCCAGGAAGTTCTAAAATGTACCGAGATTTGAAACAAAATTTTTGGTGGCCAAGTATGAAAAAAGAATCGCAGAATTCATTTCTAGGTGTTTGTAGTGTCAGCAGGTAAAAGCAGAGCATCAGAAACCCGCAGGATTATTACAACCTCTTCCAATCCCAGAATGGAAATGGGAACATCTGACCATGGATTTTGTTGTAGGCTTACCACGGACACCTCGGGGGATGAATTCTATATGGGTCATTGTCGATCGATTGACAAAGTCCGCCCACTTCCTGCCTGTGAAGACCCAGTATAATGCAGATAAACTTGCTGTGATCTATGTGAATGAAATTGTAAGGCTTCACGGTGTTCCGGTCTCAATTGTGTCAGATAGAGATCCAAAATTTGTTTCAAGGTTCTGGCGGGATTTGAAGCAAAATTTTTGGTGGCCAAGTATGAAAAAAGAAATCGCAGAATTCATTTCTAGGTGTTTGCAGTGTCAGCAGGTAAAAGCAGAGCATCAGAAACCCGTAGGATTATTACAACCTCTTCCAATCCCAGAATGGAAATGGGAACATCTGACCATGGATTTTGTTGTAGGCTTACCGTGGACACCTCGGGGAATGAATTCTGTATGGGTCATTGTCGACCGATTGACAAAATCCGCCCACTTCCTGCCTGTGAAGACCCAGTATAATGCAGATAAACTTGCTGTGATCTATGTGAATGAAGTTGTAAGGCTTCACGGTGTTCTGGTCTCAATTGTGTCAGATAGAGATCCAAAATTTGTTTCAAGGTTCTGGTAAAGTCTACAGGAGGTAATGGGTACAGAATTAAAGTTTAGCACAGCTTTCCACCCTCAAACAGATGGACAATCCGAGAGGACGATTCAGACGCTAGAAGATATGTTTCGAATGTGTGTTCTGGATTTTCAGGAAAGTTGGAAAACTCATCTGCCATTGGTTGAGTTTGCATATAATAACAGTTACCATTCGAGTATTGAAATGGCACCCTATGAAGCTCTGTATGGAAGACCGTGTCGTTCTCCCGTGTGTTGGGCTGAGGTTGGAGATAGGCCATTGTTAGGGCCAGAAATTGTCCAGTTGACAACTAAAAAGGTTAGAATTATTCGAGAAAGATTGAAAACTGCCCAAAGTAGACAGAAGAGTTATGCAGATAACCGGCGAAGGAATTCGAAGTTTGACGTGAACAGTCATGTTTTTGTGAAAGTTACCCCAATGAAAGGACATCCAAGATTCGGAAAAAGGGGTAAACTGACACCTCGATATGTTGGTCCCTTCCAGATCTTAGAAAAAATGGGTCCAGTAGCCTACCGAGTTGCCCTTCTGCCATATATGAGTCAGATTCATAACGTGTTCCATGTTTCTATGCTTCGAGGATACCTTCCAGATCCGTCACATGTTATTGATTATCACCAAATTGTGTTGACTGACAAATTAACATACGAGGAAAAACCAATTTGAATTCTAGATCGTCAAGTGAAACAGTTACGGAACCGAGAAATTCCAATGGTAAAAGTGGAATGGCAAGAGCACTACGGAACCGAGGCAACTTGGGAAAAGGAAGATGAAATGCAACACCAATATCCGCATCTGTTTCCGTCCTAAGGTAAAACAAGTTTGGAGGACCAAACTTATTTAAGGGGGGAAGAGTGTAATAACCCGACCCTCGTACATGATTTTGGTATCTCTTTGGTCCTCTATTCTGTGTTTTTGAATGCTTATTGTGAAATTCTGTGTGAAAGTACATTGAATTACATGAAACTTAGAAATATGGATTCCTATCTGTTGAATAAGGAAATTATCTGTCACAATAAACTATTTGAATCTGAAATTGGGCAACTTAGAGGCTTAATTTTCAAAAATTGATTTGATATTTGGAATCTGCATAATTTTTAAGCTCTAATGGGATTTTCTGTGAAATTTCAATTTAGGATGCTTAAACGATTAAATTTTGTCTTATTATAAACATAAATATCTATCTTAAACTCTAAGATGTCTTTGACTTGAGAGTATCTCTTGTGTGCAACCAAGAAGAGGGGAAAACGTGAGTGTTGGAGAGAAGCTCTCCAAGTGAAGAATTTGGGGAAATTTGTGAGGATTGTTTAGATTGAAGTCAAGGTATGGAAAATTTCTTGATCTAGTCTCTCTCTTGATCTTGGTTGGGGATTCTTCTTTTGTTTTGGAAGGTTATGGTAGATGTGAGGGTTTTAGGAGATGATTTATGTTGATAATCAAATTGAGTTATGAAGGGAAATCTATCCCTTATTTCCTTGAAATTTCATGAGATTATTCAATTATGTGTTTGAATTAGAAGCTTAGGTAGCTTTCTATGCATATGTTTATGTAAACCCAAAAATAAGGGAATTTTGGAAAGATTATGGTTGGTTTGAGTATGGATTTAGTGATTGAAAGTGTAAGGAGGGTTGTGATTGATTTGTTGTGTGATTTAGCACCTTATTTTGATGTTCGAACCATTTTGAGGCTTTATTTTGTGTTGTAAAAGATGGATTTTCGGTATGGAATTGAGCTGCCCCAATTCAGGGCTGCGGCTGCTCGAGCGGAGGCCATGGCCGCTCGAGCGGGAAAATGACCCTCTCAGCAGTTTTTCCGAAATTACCCTGTCCGCTCGACCGGAGGAATTTCCGCTCGAGCGCAAAAATCGACCTTTTAGCATTTTTGTTAAAATTGTACAGTACGCTCGAGCGGCCAAATTGGCGCTCGAGCGGGGAACTTATTTTCAGAAAGAAACTGTATTGGTTCAGTTTTGCGTGCTTGACTCTCTGGTATTTTTAGAATATTTTCTAATGATTTAAGATGGTTATAATTCATTTGAAGGGTAATAACACAGGGAATGATTCCTCAATGAGTTAAGAAGAAAGAGAACTAATTCACAAGTTATGGTTGTATGCAGGGCACACTCCGGAAGGAACTAGCACACCATCACAACGCTGTGAGTAATAGTACATTGAATGTACATTTATTTTCCGCTATATCTGTTAATAACATTCTGTTTTCCGTCAGTTTCGATTTTAGCATATGTATTGATTGGAACTTAATGAAAATGAAATACTGAAAAGATATACGTACATATTTGTACGTTTTGGGCTGAAAGACTGTTCTGGGCCGAAAGGCTGTTCTGGGTCGAAAGGCTGTTCTGATTATTCTGGGCCAACGGCCGTTCTGCAAGTAAAACCATATCAGACTCACTTTTGAATCTCATTTTGTGAATGCATTGTTACGCATTGTTACTAAAGCTAGTTATTAAACTGCTTAAGTATTATTATTCACTGAGCTTGTCTCACTTTGAAATTTTGTCTGATTCTGTAGGAAACCAACTTGGAGGTCAGTTCTAGCATCGTTATCATCTATCTTTTGTCAACCTAAGGACAACCAGGCATTTGGAGAAGCCTTTTGCATGCTAGGGCAGTTTTGTCAGACCATGTCATTTTGTGCTAATGTTTTGTAGACCAAACTTGTTGTATCTAATATTTTGTTGTATGCCCAACCTCTGGGCTGGACTTGTAAATGTGTATATAACGTCATATCAGACACATGTCTACTATGAGTTTAATTCCGAGTCATAATCCTGGCATTTGTGTAGTAGCTCAATGGTTGTGTTTGTATGTTAAACTTTTATATTAACGCTTCCATTCAGGCCCCGAATATTTTATATAGCAGGTTAGATGTCTGTTTCAGATTAGTTCATGCCCAAAACTTTTAGGGGCGACTTAGGGGCGTGACATGTTCGGGCAGCTTTTTATTGCCTATAAATACCAACATTCCAGCAGTGGTTAGGGATTTGAAAATCAGTCTGGAAATTGTCCCATTTGCTGTCCACTTTGCTCTAGTGCATATATTCTTCATATATAGTTTTAGGAAATAATAAAGAGGGTATAGAACACAGGTTTGGTTCACCGTACAAATTTGTTTGGTGTGCTACAACAATTTTGTGAAGATCATTGTATCCTGGGGGATAGACGCCACTCAACCGTAAGCACCATAGCGGGGCAAATCTATCTTAAGGACAGAGTGTCACACACTTGACTTGGTCTTTTATTTTTAATTCGGTTCAATAAATAAATTCGGTACGTTATTTATTTATTTTGTTTGATTTAGTTTCAATTTATTTTATTTACACAGAAGATTGTTTCAACAGTTACACCTTCAGCTATAGCAGCTCCAGCTATATTTGCTATAGCAGCTGGTATAAGTCAGGTCTCGAGGTTCTCTTCAGGTGCACATAGGAGACCTACTAAGACTACTTTGTATGGCAATTGTAGGTTAGCTGTTGGTATGAATGTTGAGGGAATAGTACAATCGTCTAGTCTGTTTACATGAGATCATTTGCATGTAACAAATTCACAACAAATTCTGTGGCAAACTTAGTTAGAGTGAACAATACATCTGTGTGTATAAGTGAACTAGTCAAGTGCTACAATTGTGTAACTGAAATGAATAATATCTTTTAAAGTTTTTTTCTCTCTCTCTCTCTCTCTCTCTACTTTTTACATGGTATCAGAGCCTCCTCAAGCTCTCATGAACAACAATGGTGATACAACCTAGCAAGTCTTCCATGGTAGATCAGTCAGGAACGGTTTCATCTGAGAAGACTTCATTGCCTTCCAATGTGCTTCTGTTTGTCTCCAATCTTAATTCCCTGATAACAGTTAAACTTGAATCAACAAATTATTCCATCCGGAAGAGTCAATTAAGAATTTCTTTGAAGCTACTGAACTTTTCAGTTTTCTTGATGGATCTACTATTTGTCCTCCTGCTACAGTCCTAGATTTCAACAATCAAGCTATTGCTAACTTTGAGTTTTTGAAATGGAAACTTGTTGATTCTTGTCTGTTTAGTTGTCTCATATCCACTCTTACACCTTAAATCTATTCTTCAGTTCTTCATCTGAAACGTAGCATAGAGCTTTGGTTTAGTCTTGAGAAGCGGTTTACTTCCTTGTCTAGATCATATATACACCAGCTCAAGAACAAATTGAGTACAGTCTCCAAGAAATCTAAATCTATGGAAGTTTATCTTTAAGAAATCAGAGATCTTGTTGATCAGTTAGCTCTGGCTTCTTCTCATATCTATGATGAATATCTAATTCTTCTAGTTCTCAATGGACTCCCTGAAGAGTACAATGCTTTCAAAACTGCTATTCGTGCTAAATCTGAAGTGCTTACTATGGATGATTTATGTGCTTTACTTTGTTCTGAGGCTATATATGTTGAATAATGTCATAAAATTGGTAGTTCTTCTGACCTTACTATTACTTTTGTTGCTACAAATGGATCTAACATTTTACGTCATTCCTCTGGTGCTTCTAATTTTAATTAGAGTTCCTCTGGCCTTGCTTTTACTAAGCACTTCTCATTTCAGAACGGAAGAGGTCATTCTTCACAATATTAGTATCATGGAGGCAGATACAACAATAATCGAGATCGAAGAAATGGTAGGCCTCAAAGCTATGGTTTGGTCTGTCAAATTTGTGGTAAAGGAAATCACTCAGCTCTTGAGTGTAGACATCATATGAATTCATCTTTTCAGCCCGTGTTTCCTTCCTATACTGTGGGTCCTTCTGTTGGTACTTCCAATCCCAAGGCTTATTCTGCTCCAGTCTATCATCCATTACCTGTGAATTCAGTTTCATCTCCTCCTCCATGGTATGTGGACTCCGCAGCCACATCTCATTTTACCAATGACTTGAGTAATCTTCACCTTTATAAACCTTATCAAGGCTCTGATCCGGTCATGATTGGCGATGGTAATGCTCTTCCTATTCACAACTCAGGAACTGGTATTTTGTCTACTCCTTCTTTTCACTTCAAACTTAATAACTTGCTTCATGTTCCTCAAATATCATCCAACTTGTTATCTATTCATCAATTGACTTATGATAATAATTGCTTTATTACTTTTGATGATAAGTCATTTGTTGTTCAGGACAATCTCAGTAACAAGGTGCTATGTAGAGGTCAATACCACAATGGTTTTTACCATTTTCCTTCTTCATTCTCTGCTACTTTTAAAGCCTTTTCTAGTACTAATTCTCTTGTTACTACTTGGCACAAAAGACTAAGGCATCCATCTTCTGATGTTTTTCATACTATGGCAAATAAATGTGGCTTTCAGTTTTGTCATAAAGATTGTTCTTTCCTTTGTAATAGTTGTTGTGTATCCAAAAGCCACTGATTTCCTTTTGTGTTGTCAACTAATAAAACTACATCTCTTCTTGCTTTAATTCACTCAGATGTTTGGGGGCTATTTGTTCAATCTGATTCTTCTAAGTATTATGTTGTTTTTAAAGATGATTTTAACAATTTTACTTGGATTTACACTCTCTCTTACAAAAGTGAAGTGTACTCTAAGTTTTTGGATTTCAAAGTTTATGTTGAAAAACAATTCTCTGCCTCTCTTAAGATCTTAAGGACTGATGGTGGAGGTGAATATACATCAAGATAGTTTCATTCTCTTCTTCAGTTTACTGGTATTGTTCATTAATTGAGTTGTCCTCATACACCATCTCAGAATGGTGTGGCTGAAAGAAAACATCGACATCTCATTGAGATTGCCATTACCTTACTTGATCAGTCTTTTGTTCCTTTGAAGTTCTGGTTTGAAACTCTAGCTACAGCTACTTATTTGATAAATCGAATAGCAGTCCTAAGCTGGGCTATCTTAGTCATTTTGAAGTTTTATACAAGACTGCTCTAGACTATGCATTTCTTAAGGTGTTTGGGCGTAAATGTTATCCTTGGTTACGTCCCTATACCTCTCATAAGTTGGAGCCTAGATCAAAGGCTTGTGTGTTTATTGGCTATCATCATAGTTACAAGGGTTATAGGTGTTTGGATCGTCTCTCTGACACTGTTTATATCTCTGGACATGTCATTTTTGATGAGCTCTCTTTTCCTTTGCTTCCTTATCTTCATCTCTTCCTCTTCTCCTTTCTTCTAAGGATGCTATTTCTTTATTTTTCTAAGGTCCTACATCTTCTGTTCCCCCTTCTCCTTCTACTTTATCTCATACTCTTCCTCTTGCTAGTTCTGATTCTCTTATGTCTGAGTCATCTTCTTCTACTCTCAATGCTTCAAGTTCCGTATCTCCTGGTTCTGTCTTCCCTAGTTCAGCCTCTCCTTCTCCTACATCCTCTTCTACAGCTCCTGGTTGTATTTCCTCTCCTATTTCTTCTTCTCCACCTGGTATTCATCTTACTATTCCAATTTTACCTCCTCATGCTTCTACAAATTCCCATTCTATGGTTACTCGAGCTAAAGCTGCTGCCACTTCTTCTCAATTTGCTCGAGCTAAAGCAGCTACCACTTCTTCTCAATTTGGTCTAACTGCTCTTTCTTCTTCTTCATTTTCTCTTTTTACCTCAGAACCACAATCTTATAAAGAAGCTCTTCAATGTCCTCATTGGTTTAATTCTATGCTTGAGGAGTTTATTGCCTTACAAGATCAGCATACTTGGACTTTTGTGCCATGTTCTCTTATTCAAAATATTGTTGGTTGCAAATGGGTGTTTTGGATTAAAAAAGGCTCAGATGGTTTTATTGCTAGGTACAAATCTCGACTTGTTGCAAAGGAATATCTTTAGGAAGCATGCATTGATTTCTTAGACACTTTCAGTCCAATTACTAAGTTGCCTACCATCAGAGTTTTTCTTTGTATTGCTCTCCACTATAACTGGCCTATTCAACAATTGGATGTCTCCAATGCTTTTTTTCATGGCCACCTTGAAAAAGATGTTTTCATGTCTCAGCCTCCTAGTTTTGTTCATTCTCAATTTCCTACCTATGTTTGCAAGCATAAAAAGTCTCTCTATGGTTTGAAACAAGCTCCACATGCTTGGTTTTCCACTTTCTCTAATTTCTTGCTTTCTCTTGGTTTTGTCAATAGTCATTGTGACAATTTTTTGTTTGTTCAAGCCTCTTTTTCCTCATTAACCTATCTTTTGGTTTATGTGGATGATATTCTCATTATTGGGAGTTCTGTTTCTCATCTTCAACACCTCATTTCTCAGTTACATTCAGCTTTTTTCCCTTAAGGAATTAGGCAAACTCTCCTATTTCCTTGGCATTTCTGTTACTTCTTCTTTTGGTTATTTTTTTTGTCTCAATCTCAGTTACTTCTACTTCTTTTACTCCTTCTTCAGTTCCTGTTCTCTGGTGTGATAACTTGTTTGCTCTTTCTCTTGCTGCTAACTGTAGACGTCCCTGAACGTCCCAGGAGGAAATCCTGTTTTGTTCATTTGGGCTCACTACAATTCGGACTCAAATGTCATGGTTTTGAACCTAATCCCGCAAAGTGCAAAGCGAGACCGATAAATCACCAAAGAGTCCAAATCCGGCAAATCGTTTTGAAAAACAAATTTTTAGAAAGAAGTGCCAAACATGGATTGCTTTGTCAGATACAGAGTCGCCACCTAAATATTTTGTTTTGGGAGAATTTAGGAAACCCTGACTCATGCCTAAGGCCACGTGTCCATCATCACAAAAGTTGTCTCGGCTTGGGAACTTGGGTACGATTGGGGAAGGTCATTTCATGAACACCTCTGCTCACCCGATCGAAGATCGGCCACTGCTAAGCATGGTATCAAGTTTTTGAAAACACATGTGCTCTTATTCCAGTTTATTAGCCTAGAATTACTATGTGATGTGCACAGCATACAAGTATAGACTAGATTGCCTAAGTTGGAACAATGCATCGCATATCCGTTTGTTTTGAAAATGGTTTGAAGTTTGCTACTCGCAAGTAGGCTAAAACACGGGTTTCGACGAATTATTCTAATTTAAGCAACCCAACCTTCATCCACAGGTATTCAGGCAGTTATATCACGTAAGCAAATAGCCTCATGACAAGCATGTTGTCATGGCAACACTCACACTCATGTAAGATTCTAAAGCATAAAAAGCTTACCTAGTACTCCGAGCCAAAACAAGAAACTAGTTAGGAATCATGCATGATCCTAATTCATGTTAAGATGGCTAATGCAACACATGCAAAATGCAACTAAAATAAGCTCGTCTATTCTAAGAATGACATGTGAAATGCGGCAATTCGATACACGTATTCAAGTTGGAATTGAAATGCTATGCGATTAGTATGATGCGCCAAGCCCGGTGTATGCAATACAGATGAATGATGCAAACATGCGAGAATAAGTATGCTAATTGAAACATGCCCTAAACTAACCATCAAAAGCTAGTAAATAAAAGGGAGAAAGAAATGGGGGTTGGAAGACATGCATCACACACACGCACACTTATTATAAAGCTCGCCCTCTCGCGAAGGGTCCGAATAAATAATACAGACCGAATAATTAATCAACTACCCTAGCTAATTAAATATTACAAAACCCTGAATTAATTAACAAATTAATTACAAAACAATCCAAGTATGAAGTAAAGAGGCCACCGCAGCTCCACCTCGAAATGATTGGATGATGTATGCTCGATTCGCCTTGCTCGGAAACCCGTTGCCATGCCAACTGTTGCCTCTGTTTACACTGTTTCATGCCTCTAAAAGCTACACAAGTCCAAAGGCTGCTTCTGAACCACTCCCTGAACACTGTGGGAGGTCACCAGCCAAGAGACAGGACTACAGGCCATGGAAGGAAGGTCATCGACCAACGATGGAGCCATCAGCTGGATATTGGTAGTTGGTCGGCACTAAAAGTTGCCGACCGGCCATTTCTTCTTGCAGAACACTGGTTTTGCTGTAACAGAGGACAAACAGTGCATGTCATGGAATTTGCAAGCCAAATGTATGCACGACCACCCTCCTTATCATGTTTAAGACTCAAAGGAGCATGGTCCTCAACCCTCGGGCCACCAATCACGCATTTCGATGCATGATGGCCAAAGGTGTCAAATATGCATTTAATACCAAATGAAATGCACACAACATAAAAGGGGCCCCCAACCTCTATCATGTTTGATCAAGAGACAAGAGTTGTAAACATGCAAGCAAAACTAATGCAACATGAGCATGTTAATGGCAATGCCATGCAAGGCTAATAGTAACAAGCATGCCAAATGCAATGCAACCTAAACAAGCATGCAAACATGCAAGGCATGTGACAACATTCAAGCATGTAACAACATGTGAGGCAAACATGTAACAACATGTTAGGCAACTTAACAAGAGGTGCATGCCAAATGCAATACCACTTAAACATGCAACAACGTGTTAATAAGCCAAGTATGTAACAACATGCAAGGCAAGCATGC